CATGGATGAAGCAGAAATATGTGCTCAAGTTCTTGGTAAGAGTACTGAGACTATTTCTAGGATTGGACCTGCTCCACGCAAATCATATAGAAATGCAGTCACAGCTCCCCCTAAATTGATGCAACAGTTGGAAATTCTTACCCAACGAGATAAAGAGAAGGATAAAGCTATTAGTGAACTTACACAAAGTCTCGAACAACAGGCGTTACTTATCCAGAGCCTTGTTGCACGAATGGATATGAGTCAGCATCCTCCTACAGGATCAACCAATGATCCGCCTCCACCGTCGCCATCAGTTGGTGCTGTAGTACTATGATTATATTGTTGAAGTTACAATTTATATTTTTGTGGTTAAATATTAAACATTTATGATTATACTTTGACTATTAGTACTTGTTATCCATACAGTACAATTTTCTTCTGTTGCGACATATTTTTTGTTAAATTTAGTAATTGTACATGTTCAAAATTTAAACGTTGGACGAATGTTTAGCAGGAACAAAAAAATTTATTATAAAAGCGTTTATAAAAAAAAATTATTGTCATTCACCGACCAAAATTTTAGTTGCTGATACTTACATTGTCCTTCATCAACCAATTATTGGTCACTAAAGTTATTAATGTTTACCGACCAATGTTTGGTCCAAGAAAAGTAGCATTATTCACCTACCATAGTTTGGTTGCTATTTCATTATCTTCACCGACCAATTATTGGTTTTTGTTAGTTCAAAAATATTTTATCCTAATCTATTTGCCGACCACCCATATTGGTCACTAAAAACATTCTACGATTGTAAATCGACCATTTTTTCTCTTTATCAGCCACCAAAAACTAAACCCTTTAGCGACCAATATGTGGTCGTATGAGGTTACACCTTTAGCGACCAACTATAGTGGTCGCCGAAGATATTTACCAACGGTGATCTAGCGACCATTAATCTACCACAAATATGTGGTCGCAAAAGACATCAGCGACCAAAACAATAACATTTAGCAACCAACAAGTTTGGTCGCTGGATGCAGTTTTTTTTGTAGTGCGATCATATTGTCGAAATCAATCTCGACCATCATTTATCCTATTAATTTCATTCTTTTATATATCTTGAAAAAGAGAAAAAAAAAAGAAACTAAAATAGAAAAAAAAAATAAAAAAGAAAAGAAATAAATCAAATAACAGTTAAAAAATATAATAAATTAAGACTAAAAGTAACTAGTCTCCATCAACGGAGCCAAAAACTTGTTGCGTTTTTTCTGTTGCATGTGTACAATACGGTAACAAGTAATACTGTGGACCTTTGAGCCCGGATTATCGTTCCCACAAGGACTATACTATAGACCTTAATTAAATTTTTCTGACTCTTATTCGATAAAAGCAAATAAAGAATTTTGATGGGTGAGATTATATTTTTCTAATTACTTCTAACTAATTGAGATATCAAAATCTTGCAAACAACGATTGACTAAAAATTTAAATACATGATGAGTATTAGGACAAAATAATTTCATCTATTGATCACCTTAATTCTTAATTCAAGATTTTAACATAATGTAGTGTTCGGTCGAATTCGTCTATTGTATTCAATTTATCCCTCTCGAGTTCTCATTGAGCCTATTTAACTAATTCAATTTCATATCTCTATACGAATTACCCTTAGTTAAACGAAACACTAGTTCTAAGAATTAATATTATGACCTCAATAATTAGTATAGGTATCTCTACACGTTATACTAATTTAACGAATTTTATTATATGGTCTAAGTCTCAAACTCACCTCTCGATTCGTAAGAGACTCACATAATCATCAAATTATTGATCAAGTAATTTAATACATTAAACTTATAGTAAAACCAACACATAAGAATAAATCACATAAATCTTGATATAAAAATAAAGGATCACAAGTCGACTACATTGTTTTCCCTAATCTGAAATTTAGTTACTCATAATTTAAAAATAAAAACTAAAAGTAATGGAATTCATCACCGGATTTTAATAAAAATGTAGAAACAAATTAAATCTTGCACCAAGATCTTCTTCCGCTTCCAATCAACGCTTTTCAACTCGAATTTCATGATGATTCTCTTCTTTGAATTGGGCTTTTCGATCTCTCGTTGTATTCCTATTTCTCAATGTTTTGGAACCCTTTATTAGTTCCTCCTTAGGTCTAAATTGATTTTGAGAAAATAAACACATTATAATAATCTACTCATGGAGTAAAACACACTCGGCCAAAGAAATGTTTTGTCCAACTAATGCGACCCATTAAAATAATTGGTTAAAAGTTGGTCAAACCAACTAATTAAACCAATTTTCCCAACAATTTGCATCGTAGATAGAATTATATGCATAGCATGGAAATTAGCGTAATCCATATGTAACACAATGTATTTTTCCCTCAACATCCACAAAAGCTTTTGTATAGTTATATCCAGGCATATAATAGGAACGGATCCATTATAGTGTGGATATCATTGCAAGATCACTGATTTTGTCGTTTGATCGGGCAACAATACCATTATATCCTTTCTCCAAACTTGATTTTTGGTCAATAACAATTTCGTTGATGCCAGATGAAGCATCATCTACGGAAGATGTAAATGAAACTGAGTTTTCAAAAACCATCTCTTTTCTAGACAATCCACTTGATGAATCAAAACTAGGACAAGGAGCTAAGAATTCTTCTCTTTTTGGGTACGAGGAAATGACTTTCTTTGTAAAGAAAAAGTGGTTTTACTTAAGAATGGAGAATAACCTTTTGAGTATTTGTGATTGCGTGCTTGCTTTGTGTGGTTTGTGCCTAGTACATGCCACTACATAAATACATTTGCATTAAATGTATGCAACCCATAAATTGAAAAATTAAAATTTATGGGAAGTCGTTTCTGCTGGAGAACACATTTTTGTTTAAAAGAGAAAAAAGAGCCTAGATTCCTTTTAACACTCTCTTCCTCTTTCACATCTTGTCCATATTCATCTAATTCTTGGATTTGCCACTTCGTATTCCCTATTTCACCGATCATTTTCTCCATGTTCTAGCTTGGTTTATCCAAATTTCTTTTGATATATTTTCCTTTTTCATCAAAAATGTTTAGGACACCAATGCTTCTTCCATATCAACTTGTCTACGTCAATAGAATTCTGGAATTATGTCTTATTTATTGATGTTTTTCCGTTGTGCACGCTCCTACTGTTTTCGGGGTGAATATTGAAATATACTTTCTTTACAAGCCCATTCCATTGATTGGTGGAGACATACATACACGACATAAGATTTTCCTCATAAAGTCCTTATTTGAAATATTTTTGTTACTTTTTGTTGAGTTAAAAGCATTTTATTATTCCGCACCATACATCATTTATTACCAGATCTAGTGTCAGTAGAATCACATTCGTAGCATGGAAAGGTATCTGATCCATATGAAACACAAGGCTGTTTTCCATCAACATACACAAATCGGGTCGTATAACCTTATTCAGGCATACATTAGAGAACTGATCCATTATCTAATTAAATACTACTGCAATAATCACTTAGTGTGTTAAAATAAGCTTTGATATTCGAATGAGTAATGGTATCATTATATCCTTGCTCCAAACCACAATTATCGCGAATAACAATTCCTTTGATGCCGGATGTAGCATCATCTAGATGATGCTAACGAAACATAAGAATATAGTTTCCCAAAACCATTCATTCTCTAAAAAGTCCACTTGATGAATAAAAACTAGTACAAGGAGCTGTTATCTCGGTGTTTTATGTATTCTTCTCATTTATGTAATGGGAAACCACTTTCTTTGTAAAGCAAAAGTGGTTTTCCTATAACTTTTCGAATATTCTATGTTCGCATGCTAGCATGGCTCGTGCTTAGTTCATGCCACTATATAAATATGTGTGCATTAAACTCATGTGCCCATAAATTAAAAAATTAAAAGTTATGGGAAGCCAGTTCTACTGCGGAAATATTTATGGCCAAAAGAGAAAAACAAGAGCCCATATTCCTTCTAACCCTTACAGGGAACATGCGTATCGCTATCTTCCTCTTTACATATGTTTGTTCCTCTTGCACATCTTGTTCGAATTCATCTAGTTCATGGATGTGCCACTTCATCTTCCCTACTTCATACGTCTTGTTGTCCATATTTGAGTTAGTTTATCTTAATTTGTATTGATATTTATCCCTTTTTCGGAAAAAAATGTTTAGGACACCAACACCTTTTCCATTCCAACTTGTCTATGCTTCATAGAGTTTTATCCTATTTATTGATGTTTTATCATTATTCAAGCTCGTACTAGTTTCAGTGTGAAAATTAAAAATGAAATCTACCTTCTTTGCAAGCCCATTTCATTGATTGGTAGAGACATACGTACGCATATGTGACATAGAATTTCCCGACAAATCCTTTTTGATATACTTTGATGGGCTGTGATGCCAATTATATAAGTTGTATTCAGTTTATTGGGCTATGATAAAATTGGGCCTAGCCCATTGCTAGTTTAAGTTTGGCTATTGCCTGATAATACAATGAAACTGGCTCAATACCCGACCTGTGCTGCTCTAGACCATTGATCTTCAGTTGAATCTACGGTGATGGATTTGTATATTTAAAGGGCTTGAACAGTTGCTTTATACACATTATTCATTCTACTTTCTTTGTGCTAAGCTTCTGGGTTCTCTGTGTGCTTCGTCTCTTCAGTCCCTCTTTTGATTCTTTGTGTATTGATCAAAACTTCTAGTTTTGTTCATAAATCTTTGTGATTTGATTCTTAGTGAATCTTCGGTTAAGGGTTTTGAGTTATTAGATCAGTTGTTTGATCTTGTTTCCATCGAGTAGCTATTGTGTTAGATTCTTCAGGGGTTTGGGTCTTTGTAGCCATTTCTTTTGTATAGAAGGGTACAATATTTTTCTGAGCCCTATGTGATAATCGATCTCTTGGTGTTAATGAACTTTGAGTGTTTTTCGTGTTTGTGAGATTTTCTGCTTCCGTTGTGTTTTGGCTCTACATACTTTTATTACTTTTTCTGGAGTTAAAAGCATTCGAAAATCCCACACACTTTAGTCCCATCATAGATCTTATAGTACTAGCTCTAATAGAAGAGACAGTTGGGCAATTTCCAGCATAGGTAGAATCGTATGTATAACATGGAAATGTGTCTGGCCGATAAGGGACACAAGGCTGTTTTCCATCAACATCCACAAATCGGGTCGTATAACCATATCCAAGAAGATAATAGAGAACTGATCCATTATTTGATTGGATACCTTTGCAAGAATCGCCTACTGTGTTAAAAGTAAATTTTGTCGGTACCATTATAACATTGCTCCGAACCTCATGTTTCCTCAATAACAAATCCCTCGATACCAAATGTAGCATCGTTGCTCATATTGATTGGTGGAGTCATACGTGTATAGCATAAGATTTTCCAGACAAGCCCTTACTTGAAATAGTTTTATTACTTTTCGACTATTAGGCCACTTCTGTCCAACATAGATCTTATAGTACCAGATGTAGTAGCAGAACCTTTCAGCCATTGCCAGCATATATAGAATTATATGTGTAGCATGGAAAGGTTTCTGATCCATATGAGGCACAAGGATATCTTCCATCAACACCACAAATAAGGTAGTATAACTAGGCATGTAATAGAGAAGATCCATTACCTGATTGGATAGCATTGCAAGAATTACCTGCAATGTTAAATTAAGCTTTGTCATCTAAGCAACATAACCATTATATCCTTGCCCTAACCAATGTTTGGTCAATAACAATACGTTTGATGCCGAATGCAGCATCATCTATGGAAGATGCAAATAAAACTGAAGCAGATATTATTTCATCTTTTCTTGAGACGATCTACTTTCTAGACAGTCGACTTGAAGAAATAAAACTCAGACAAGGAGCTATGATCTCAACATTTTAACATTCTTCTCTTTTAGGTATCGGAAAACTGCTTTATTTCTATATCAAATGTTGTTTTCCTTAGAATGGAGAGTAACTTTTTTGTTGTGAAACAAACTATCAGATTGAGATGTTGAAATTATATGGCAAATAATAATGAAGTATATGATATGATCAAGCAAAAGAATAATAAAGACAAGAATATGGCAAAGGAATTAAGAGATTTTATTAACTCAAGAATAATGGAGAAGATAGAAAAATTACAGTGGATCCTATAATTCTAGTAATCTATTTTCACACACCATAATATTGTATATAAGAGCCTAGTATTTATAGGAAACATTTAGGGCATGTTCAAACCCTCCTAATAGAGTTGTTGATGAAGTAGGATACCAAAAAATCGAATCCAAAACAAATTACAATTCTCAATGGGCATCCAAAATAGAACTTCAACTTGGCATATGACTCCAATAATATTTCAAAATTGAATTCTTAATGACGTGCATTTCAATTAAAATTCTTCAAACAAGAAATTCGGGTCACACCCAAATTCTAACAATCTCCACATTGACACGAATTCCACCAAGGAATAAACTGGCTTCTTCAACAATAACCAAAAAATTAATTTCTCCAACAAAACACAATACTCCACATTTTTCAATGAATCAAAGCGCTACTCTGCAGAATTACAACAATAACCAAAAAATAATTTCTCCAACAAAATACAATACTCCACCTCTTCCAATGAATCCAAGCACTTCTCTACAAAATTAACTCAGATTTTCAAAAAATCATAATGATTTTAAATTAATCAAAATGGACTATAACACACCTCAAAGCAGAATCAAACTCAAATGCTTTTAAAGAAGGCCCCTTACTAGATTGTACACCTTCTAGTCTACTTAAAGCATGTTCAACAAAATCATCATCCACATACCATTTTCCATTGGGTTCGTCCTTAGCAATTAAATACAATGGCACCACAGGTGATGGTGGCAAAGCAGCATTATCCATATCTCCAAAACTCCACTAAACTGTATTTTTTCAAATCCGACCCTTTATGAGCTCCTAAAAGTTACCAAACTGAATGTCCACCACGATCCTAAACTTGTACTGATCGACTCTTCTAAATTCTGCACGACCCTACAAGATATATAATTGAGACATGTTCTGTCCCTCCAATACAACTTGGACACTCTTACAAACCTTCAAAACTCCACCTCCACCAAAAAACTCATAACCTTTTGAATCAAGGATAGACTACGAAATGAGATTTTTCTTTAAATCTGGAACATGTCGAACCTTCTCAACTGTTCTAATTGTCCCATCCAAATGCTTTAATCTGATTGTACCAATTCCAGAAACCCAACAAGATGCGTTATTTCCCATAACCACGACACTTTTGAAAACAGTTTCATATATAGTAAACAAGTCCTTATTAGGACACATATGAAACACACATGCTGAATCAATAATTCAATCATCTTCTGATTTAGATTCAATGTCAGAAATAGCTAAGAGATCTCCATCACTTGCAACGTTCTCCTCGATATCTGTTTTGCCTGAAGTATCTGAATATCTACTTGCAGCCATCCTTTCTTTATTCTGTAATTTGTAGCAATTCTTCTTTAAGTGTCCCTTCTTCTTGAAATAGTTACAAATTTGATTACTGAACTTAAATTTCGAACTGCCCCTTCCAGAACCACCATGAGCAACCAGGCCATCTCCATCTCTGGCCTCAAAAACCAGATGCTTCATCTTCTCTTTTGAATACAAAGTATTATATACTTCCTCTATGGTGAGAGTATCACGACTATACAAGATCGTGTCTCTGAATGAAGAAAACGACACGGGCAACGAACACAATAGGATCAAAGCCAAATCTTCTTCATCATACTCTGCTTCCAGAGTTTCCAAATCAGCGACGATCTCCTTAAATACAGCCAGTTAATCTTCCAATGATCCTCATTTTGCCATTCGATGAGAGTATGAACGCTGCTTGAGGTTCAACTTGCTTGTTAGACTTTTAGTCATGCACAATTGCTCCAACCTCAACCATAAAACAGCTGTTGAATTCGCCTTCAAAACATCCTGAAGAATAGTATTTAATAGATGAAGATGAATGTGAAAAACTGTCTTCTTATCCTTCCGTAATTTCTCCTCCGCAGTCAAAGTTGTGGGCATCCTGTCAATTCCTAGCAACACATCATCCAAATTCAGTTGTGCGAATACTGCACGCATCTTAAACTTCCATAGTAAAAATCTAGTGCTCTGATCCAAAAGCAGAATGTTATACTTCGTGGAAGTCATCACGAATAAAAACCTCGAATTGACACTCTAATACCAATTGTTGTAAAACAACCAAGATACCAAAATTGCTCTGATACCAATTGTTGTGAAACAAACCACCGAATCGAGATGTTGAAGTTATATGGCAAATAATAATAAAGTATATGATCAATGAAAAGAATAATAAAGACAAAAATATGGCAGATGAATTAAGAGATTTTATTGACTCAAGAATAATGGAGAAGATAGGAAAATTACAATGAATCCTATAATTCTAATAATCTATTTTCTCATATTATAAAATTGAGTTCAAAACAAATTTCAACTTTCATTGGGCTTCCAAAATAGAATTTCAACATGACATAGGATTCCAATAATATTTCAAATTTGAATTCTTCATGACATGCACTTCAATTAGAATTCTTCAATTACTTCAATAAGGAATTCAGGTCACGCCCAAATTCTAACAATCTCCACATTGACATGAATTTCACCAAGGAATGAACTGGTATTTTCAACAATAATCAAAAAATTAATTTCTCAAACCAAACACAAAATACTCCACCTCTTCCAATGAATCTAAGCACTGCTATACAGACTACCTCAAATTCCAAAAAAATCACAATGATTTTATAATTTACCAAAATGAGCTGTAACACACCCCAAAGCAGAATCAATACAAAATGCTTCTACAGAATGCTCATTGTTAGATTGTACACCTTCTACTCCACTTAAAGCATGTTCAACAAAATCAGCATCCACATACTCTTTTCCATTGGGTCTGTCCCTAACAATTGAATACAATGACACCGCAAGTGATGGTGGCAAAGCGGCATTATCCATATCTCCTGAATTCCATTGAACTGTATTATTCAAATTCGACCATTTATGAGCTCCTAAATGTATTATACCAAACTGGATGTCCACCACGGTCCTGAACTTGTGCTGAATACCAAAAAATCGAGTTCAAAACAAATTACAACTCCCAATTGGCATCCAAAACAGAACTTTAACTTGACATAGGACTCCAATAATAGTCCAAATTTGAATTCTTCATAACGTGCACTTCAATTAAAATTCTTCATTACTTCAAACAAGGAATTCGGATCACACCCAAATTTTAACATTTTTTGAATGTTTTTTGTGTCCATGCTTGCTTGTGTGGTTCGTGCGTGGTGCATGCGTAGTGCGTGCCGCCACTATATAAATTTAAGTCCATTAAATGCATGCTCACATAAATTGAAAAATATATGTCCATGATTCATAAAGTTATTGTCCTATTTATTGACGTTTATTCGTTGTGCATGCTCATACTGCTTCTGGAGAGAAAAAAGAAACATGCCTCTTTTGTGATCCCATTCCATCTATGGGTGGAGACGTACATGCACGACATAAAATTTTCTAGACAAATCCTTATCTGAAATCTTATTTAAAATATTTATATTACTTTTTGTCAAGTTAAAAACATTCACTACCCTGCAAGGTTTTGTCCCATAACGGAATTTATATTACCAAATCTAACAGCAAAGCCAGTCGCCAGCCATTTCCAGCACAGGTAGATTCATATATGTTGGAAAAGTCTTTCAAATCAATCTGGATAAGCATTGCTAGATTTTAGTGGAGTTGGTTGTTAATGAGTTAATATCTTCGAAAAAAATTTAAGAGGTCGTTTTTCCTTATAGTTATCGCTAGTTCTTTTATCTTTATCTATTTCTCTTATGTAATCTCTAAATAGATAATTGAAAATCATGCTAACGACTTGGGATCCTGAACTTTCAAGTTTGAGCAAGTTGGTCCTTGATATTTTTAAATCTTTCATATTATTTTCATAAAGTTAAGTTTGCTCCCTAAATTTTCATATTAGAGCAAGTTGACCACTTATAGTACCCTCTAAGGTTTACTTTGACTATTTCTATTGTTATTGTTAATGTCTAAGTTATGGTCATGGTTCGAGTCATAAGACCTCATGTGGGACATATTATTGGTGATTAGGTTGTTGGAACCCCTATTTTTTTTTTGTTGTTAGGCCACTTTGTGGCTCCATCTTTGAGTAGATTGCGGGTAATTCCATGAATGTTTGCAGTGCAGGGATGTGATCCTCAAGTCTTAATGAGGTCAAGGTAGATGATGATTTCCTTTGAACCAACTTCTAGTTCTTGGTTGACTTAGTTGGCATTCAATGTAAA